ACAGATTAAAATTGTTTTTACTTTATTTAAAACTAATATAATTTTTTTTATTAAAAATAAAAATTTGTGTATAATTGCATTATTATAATTTATTTATTTATTTATTATTATTTTTATAAAATTAATAATTTTAATAATAAAAAATAGAAAAAGGAAAACATACACTTCATTATTTTTAAATATGTCCTGATCAATCATTTAATTTTAAACAACAATCATTGACTATTGTATAGCCAAATAGTTATATTAATCAAATTCACTATTTATTATCTGCTACTCAATTTCTGTTATTCGTCACTTATTATCTACTAATTGTTACCCATTATCCGCAACTGTTATTTTCTATTCACTATCCGTTATTTGCTGAATTTAAGCTGTTATATAAAACGGGCCATTAAAAAAATTAAAGTCTCTACCTTAAATGACATCGTTCATTTAATTAAAATCTAATTTAAAATTCAAAAAACCACCTTATTAAATGTTGATACCTAAATTTGGAAACTAATATTCTAATATAATCGCTTTCTAAATCTATGTATCAACATTTAATAAGATAAATTTCTTAATTTTAAATTAAATTTTTGTTTTCAAATGTAATAATTAATATTTAATAAGGTGGATTTTTGAATTTTGAATTGAATTTTAATTAAATGAAATGACATTATCTAAGGTTGAAACTCTAATTTTCAAAAAAGACTAGTAAATCTAATCACTTTGTTAATTATACAAAATTTAACACTATTAAATATATGTCAATAAATAGAGTTTTTTTTATTAAAGAGTTATAAGTGTTAGATTAATATGAAAATTGACATGCATGATCTACATAAATAGAACTTTTAATCAAACGGATAGTTTTTGAAAAGATTAATTAAAAAATAAGTTTTTAGACACGTCCTAAAAAAAGTTTTAGGAGAATGACATTTTCTACATTAACATCATATATATATAGGAGGGATCTACTTATATATAAATTTTACACATTATATTTACACAAAATATTGATCATTCACCTTGCCACTTTTAGTGATTGTGATTTATTTACATTTATTAAAAATAATTATTTTTTTATCTAAAAAGTTAAAATAATTCAACCATTGAGAGT